TCATAAAATTTAGCAAACTTGGATGTTGATTTTTTTAACCCACAAGTTACATAAAAATGAAAAATTTTATGAAACTTGTAAAAATTTTCATAAAATTTTGATTTATGAAACTGGATTTATGAAGACAAGATAATCCTTCATTTTTCTTTCCCATTGTTTCCTTTCTGTAGCGTACTGCAGAGTGTTAGACCATGAACTTTGTCAAATACGTAACATTTTGAGCTACCTACATAGAAATACACAATATGAGCTATGATTCAACTAACACGCGGTTTCAGAAAATAATCATTTGAGATTCAAAGGTGGTTGAGAAAAAATTTTAAGACTTTACAATATTCTTGGAATTATATACAGTTTGTTTCTCAATACGCCACAAAGTATGAGTATATCTTGTAACCTTCAGATCATTTTGAGTGATGGTCGTTGCAAAGACGGGTAACTATAGCCTAAAACCTTATAATGTGTACCGGATCGTTTATTCTGTAGGTAAAGAAAATATTCTAAACTGTATTGAAAAATATGTCTGACACGACTTTTCAAAAAAATTTATTTAAAAAATCACTGAAGGGATTTTTCAACAGCAGTAGGATATACCAACAATTAAAGAACGATTCACTAAGAATAGCTACATGTCCACGTCCGGCGAAGCACGAGAGTATATCAAAGTTCAATTTCGTTTAATCTAGTTTTCTTGCCACATCTGCATGTACTTTGAGCAAATCGACAATGGTCTCCGGTGGACGTCTACCAAATCCACATTCTGTTGCGATTCCAAATGGTCGAGATCCCAGAGCTTTCTTAGCCGTTTGTGCTCGATGCAGACTTCCATCCACACCATCTGTCAGATGGATTAAACCCAAATACAACTCAGTATCACTTTTTAGTTCAAGATCTTTCATTGGTCGAAAATAATCGTCATCTGTTCGATTTCGTGGTATGGGTAAGTGTATCCAGTTTATTGCTCTTGATAACAACTGCTTTGACAATGTATTTGCCATTTGAACAAGTTTAGATGAATCGTTGGGTTCGACAAAGTGTTTATGTGCATAATCACCGTAACATAGATGAAAACCAACATGAACGTCTTCAGGAACTACTGTGCCTAAATCAACCACATCACTAAACATTTGATCGATGCTGATTTTGTAAGCAGATCTATTCTCTAATATAGCAAATTCAAGGCAAACGTCCCATTGAACAGCTAATTGATCGTGCGGTATTTCTGCACAGATTAGTTCGAGTTCAGCAAACAATGCACGGCGATAAGCGGGAAGTATATCGACAATTGCGCTGGAGTCAGCAAGGAACATGCAAGGAGCAAGAGGAGTCGGGAGTGATACTTGGAACCGAACATGAGTTGGAATGGTACCGTCTTCTTTCAATTTCTTAAATAGTGCAAATGAATTGAGAGCTGCTTCAGAGTAACCAAGATTATCAAATTTGAGTTCCATAGGATTACTGCCGTCACAAAATCGGAATTTTCCAACAGACGGACCATAATGAACATCAGCGGGTGGTTCTTGTTTTAATAGCGGATTACAAGCAAAAACCTGTTCCTGAAACTCGATCCACCCGTATCGCTTCCCTGTTTCTCCGTCCGGAATGTATCGAAGATGAGAACCGATAATTTCGCTAACACACTTAAACACTTGTTCATTATTGGCTAACGGAACACTGCCAACGAGGAGAATAGGAATCATACTGTCTCCTCCACTCTTTGATCACTGATATATTCTGAAATAGATCAATAGATCCTCATTTGTTCATGTACTTACTCCAGGAGAAACCATACTCCAATCTCCCAATCGGAATATATCTCCCGATTGAGCTATATATCCCAATTGGAATATAAAAATGTATCCCGATTGAGATATTATAGTCTAATTGGGATATTTTTTTTTCGATATCCCGTTAGGGTGATGTGCTTTTCTGTATATCCCAATCGCGATATAGTTTCCTTATAGTAGGACCGTAGTTTAAAACCGTCTAAAACTAGTTAATGTGGCGCTTGTAGTGCAAAGATGATATAGAACGTAACATATCATCCGTCACAACTTGACTCAACTTCACTGAATTGAAGCCTTTTGTAAACAATGTTGTTTACTTCGCTGCGCGGACGACGAATCACGGTGGACGAACGTGACTTTAAATGAATATTTCACTGGATGTCACTGCCTCATGTATGTCCAGAGTAATAGAACATGTCAAGATATTTCGAGAAAGTGTTACAATAGCCAGTAAAAAAAGTAAAATATCCTGATACTCAAATATCATATATAATTCTAATACTCAGACGTTTCTCAAGCTGTAGAATGAAGTTCTTAAATGATATGTCACGTTTGTCTTGAAGAATGAAGGAGAACAAAAGGTAAACAGTAAACAAAACGTACCACTATTTTTAAAACAAGATATTCTTAGCATAACACGTTTATTTGTTAAACCATGAGAAAATTGTTTTTACAAAGTAAATCAGAAATTATCTTATCCTACCCAGACTTTTTTGTACACGCTCTTTGACGATGGTTCGTTCGACGTATATATTGAAATACATCCCTTTTTTTTCTTCTTATATATGCATACACTATACTAAGCACATTCACTTGATCAAATTTAATAAATCATATCTGTCATCATCAATAGTCCGGACTAGTGTGTCGTTTTTTTTCTAAACTAAAATGTTTTCTATGGGTAGAAAACCGGGTTTGATGTTCAGAAACCCGTTTTTCCCTCTGAACTTAAAAGTCTAAATTTCTCTTTTCATACCGATATACAGTAACTACTTGACTACATGATGAAGCAAAGATATCCAAAAAATGTTTACTCTCCCGTGCAGAAAAGATATTTCAAAAATAGCCTCAAGATCCAAAATATTAAAAGATGGGTCAAATTC